TATATATATATATATATATATATATATATATATATATATATATATATATATATATATATATATATCAATATTTGTAAAAGGGATGACATGCACTGAGAGAAAAAATATAGTTGCTTTTGATGTTAACTATACGCTTTTGTGATTTTAACCACAAAAATAATTAGAAGAATCATTGTTTTAGTAAGTGTTATATAGAAAGATGGTTCTTCTAATTATTTTTCTGGTTAAAATCACAAAAAAATATAGTTTACGCCGAAAGCAACTATATTTTTCTCTCAATGTGTGCATGCACCTGTATCATTGTGCGTTGTAACGTACTTGAGCGCGCGTATTGTAGTAATGGCAAAAATAAAACGAATCTTTAATGATCATGGACAGATCAACGGACAACGGACGCGATACTAATTCGCGAAATATAAAAGCATGTTATCACACCTCGGCTCGACATTTCAGAATAAACAAGCTCTCGCCAGTATCTTAATAGAATTTTAATCGCGATGGGAAATCACACGATGTCGTGAATAATCTCGTTTAGCGTGCCCAAAAGATACTGATCTTTTCAGACTGTCTCACTGAGAAACTGTAATTACACAAGGACAGTCGTCACTCTTTACATAGGAAAAAAGAACATTCTTATTTTGAAAACATCTTTGTTTTTACATGTAAATCTTCAAATAAGATTACATAACGTTAAACAAAGACAAGTTACTCGCATCAATATACTTTATATATGATTCAACAAAGAAAAATATATTCTTATTATTCAAACTATTCCATTTTTTAATTTCCATTGGTGGAAAGCACAAAATATTGGATTGAGAATATGATGTTTCTGAATGTTGGTAAAAGATATCTTTATCATCAAATTGATCATAATACTTCTTATGGGACCATCGTAACGTTCCAATGAAATTATAACATTTTTGAAGTTCAAAACTTTGAGATTCTCCTGATAAAGTTGCACATCGTTGATTGTTAATGCGAGCAAATTAGTTTTAAATAGATACCAATTCTTTCTGCGCAGGATCCTCTCGTGGGT